TTCTCCAATAATGGCTGCCGGTGTATGAACTTGACCAGTTAAGTATAAACAGTAATCCCTTGTGACATTCACGAGAGGTCCTTGAATTGGATGGGTATAAAGGTTGTGGAAGCTTTAAGGATCAAGCCCATCTTCACAATCCTCTGAGGTGACCTGACATGACCCCTAAGCTCCCTTCAAACATGACCTGCGTCGCGAGTCCATTATCGCTAGTGTCCCGGAGGCCGTAACATAAAGGCGGTGTTTACGCCCTCGACGCTGTGACCTTTGACCTCCTCCGGCCTTGGAAGCGGCATTGTTATGAATAAAAGAAACAATTAAGGAGGGATTCAGTTCTGGGAGGTCGCGGACTGCTTGGTGATTGTGTGATGTCCAGAGTGATTGTTGTGGGGGGGGGGGAGTGAGGCGCGTGTGAGAGATGCTTGGTCACAGATCACTCCTGGTCCTGCCTCTTACCTGGGCGTAACTGGGCTCTCTCCTCCTCTAGTCTCATCATACCTATTTATAAAACTATGTACGGAGCCTTTCTTCATTTCTGCTTCAAGGTTGTTACACTTCCTGACGATTTTAAAGGTTGAAGGTATTCTTTCCAAACATCCTTATGGCTCATTTGTGTCCTAAAACTTCCATCAGTGGGCGCGTGTACCTTGTTCCCCCTCCTCTCCCCCGTATGTTCTCCCTATCAATTCTTTCTACATCGTTGTCTTCCCTGGTTCCTCTGTCTTTTGTTGATGTCAATTTCAGCTCCTTTAGTCTTTCCTCGTAAGTTGATTCGTCTTAGTTACGACTTAGTGAACCTCTGCACGTTTTGCAAGTTTCTTTACGTACTTTATCAAGTAGGAGATCCCTGCGGGTGTTGATGCTTCAAGATGGACCTCTCACATTTTCATAAAAGCGAATAAATCTTTGTTTGAGATACCAGAAGGCTGCAAATAGATTCTCGCAATTCGTAGCCATCTTGACAGGCACAGATTGATTAATGAATCTCAACACGGTTTTACAAAGGGGCGTTCCTGTCTTACGAATTTACTAACTTTTTTCACTAAGGTGTTTGAGGAGGTAGATCATGGTAATGAATATGATATTGTGTATATGGACTTCAGTAAGGCTTTCGATAGAGTTCCACACCAGAGGCTATTGAGGAAACTTAAGGCACACGGAATAGGAGAAATTTTTTCCTGGGTAGAGGCATGGCTGACAAATAGACAGCAGAGAGTTTGCATAAATGGGGAGAAATCAGAATGGGGGCACGTCACAAGCGGTGTTTCTCAGGGGTCAGTGTTGGGCCCGTTGTTGTTCACAATTTACATAAACGACATAGATGAGGGAATAAATAGCGACATAAGCAAATTTGCTGATGACACCAAAATAGGCCGTCCAATTCATTCTAATGAGGACACTAGAGCACTTCAGGATGATTTGAATAGACTTATGCAATGGTCGGAGAAGTGGCAGATGCAGTTTAATATTGACAAATGCAAAGTTCTAAATGTTGGACAGGTATAACCATGCCACATATAAACTAAATAATGTAGATCTTAATACTACTGATTGTGAAAAGGATTTAGGAGTTCTGGTTAGCAGTAATCTAAAACCAAGACAACAGTGCATTAGTGTTCTCAATAAAGCTAACAGAATTCTTGGCTTCATATCTAGAAGTATAAATAATAGAAGTCCTCAGGTTGTTCTTCAACTCTATATATCCTTGGTTAGGCCTCATTTAGACTATGCTGCTCAGTTCTGGTCACCGTATTACAGAATGGATATAAATGCTCTGGAAAACGTACATAGGAGGATGACAAAGATGATCCCATGTATCAGAAATCTTCCCTATGAGGATAGACTGAGGGCCCTGAATCTGCACTCTCTCGAAAGGCATAGAATTAGGGAGGATATGATCGAGGTGTATAAATGGAAAACAGGAATAAATAAAGGGGATGTAAACAGCGTGCTGAAAATTTTCAACCAAGACAGGACTCGCAGCAATGGTTTCAACTTGGAAAAATTCAGATTCAGAAAGGATATAGGAAAGCACTGGTTTGGTAATAGAATTGTGGATGAGTGGAACAAACTCCAGAGTACAGTTATTCAGGCTAAAACATTGTGTACTTTTAAAAATAGGTTAGATAAATAAATGAGTGGGTGCGGGTGAGTGCGAGTTGGACCTGACTAGCTTGTGCTGCTGGGTCTGGTGCAGTGCTCCATCCTTGAGTGGAGATGATCAGACTGGGTGGGTCATTGGGCTAATCGGGGGGGGGGGTCATTGGTCTAATCCGTGGGGGGGACATGGACCTGCTCCGCATGGGTCAGTAGGCCTGTTGCAGTGTTCCTTATGTTTTTATTTGCTGCAGATGTACTGTACGAATCTTGATATTCTCCTCTTATGAAGTTTTAACCTCAGTTTCCGGAGTTTGCAATCAAGTTTCCTGCTTTATCAGGCTTCAATTTATATATTTTATTATTTTCTGGGAGTTGAATTCCAGTAGCCACTTGTCTGACCAATCCTGCAGCTTGCTCAGGTATAGTTGTAGTCTTTCATTGGCTTTCCTCAGTTTATTTTTATTTTTTCGTTAATTTCATATCGGCAAACAGGGATACAAAGTGTTAGGCCAAGTCTTGTGCGGTAGGATCAAGTTGCTTCTAGTTGTCAAAGAATATACAAAGCCACCTTTCCTTGCCCCGCCCACAAAAACACAAAAAAAAAAAAAAAAAAGCAAAAAAAAAAAAAAAAAAAAAAAAAAATAAAAACCAAAAAAAAAAAAAAAAAAACAATAACAATAACAAAAACAATAACAAACAATAACAAAACAATAACAATAACAAAATAAATAACTAACAAAAAAACAAAAAAAGCAAAAACAACGTGTTGCCGCCGCCGCCGTCATCAGAAGCAACAAAAGCGGTTTATAACAGCAAGTTACAGCTGGTTCCCCACCTATCTTCCCTCCCATCCAGCACTACAATCAATATGCCTCTCTCTCCATGCATCAGTTTTTATCTAAATAGGCTTATGATGAGTGTTTGGAATTAGACCAATAGACATAAGTATTGGTGAGACATTTATTTATATTATGCATTATATTCTTTTTATTTATTGCTAATTTATTTTCCTCAAAGACCGTCCATCACCAAGGTAAAGGAAAAAAAAATTGTTCATTTAATAGCTGTCTTGTTAGAGCAGCACAGACATCAAATTCCAATGATCCTACGAAATGTAACGTCCCCAAATTTCCTTCAGCGTATAGGCACAGTACTTCCCGCCACCAGAACAAGTCTGACTAACCGGTTTCTTTGAATCCTATCATTAATGTTACCTTGCCTACTCCAACAGCACGTCAGACACCTTAAGAATGTGCATTTCCATTCACCCCGATAATAAAATGACACGTCTGCTGGATGCTTAAGACTTTACCACTTAAACCCTTCACACCTTCCCCTCAGCTCTTCCTGGGACGACCCCTACCCCCCTCCTTCCTTCCACCACGGATTTATACACCCTCTTGGTCATCCTTTTATGCTTCATTCTTTTTAAATGACCAAACTTGAGCACGATGAGAAGGATATCGTCAAACATTCTACTCTGCGTATTGTATTATCAAAAGCTTCGTTGGTTGTTATCCCTGGGAAATGTGTTGATGAGCGGGATGCTGAGCTGAACCTGTGATTACCCATTCACCAGCTGACCCTCCTCTTCCAATTCCTAAGTTTAGAATTCTTTGCATAATAATCACACCTTGCACTGCTCTCAAACATGACATGTCCGCTGCCTCCAGCCACCTCCCCGCTGCAACGTTTAAAATCCACACCTCACAGCAGGAGGTGCAATACGCAGGTTTAGCAGCGAGCGCAGGACGTGTATTAAGTCCAGTCAACAAGCGAAGTAAATAAAGGCTGGCAGGTCTGGCTTCATGTTAATAATTAACCTGGCCTTGTTAATTCCATGTTTATTTCTCACATACCGTGGACAGGAAATTTGGCTAGGGTAGGTCATCGCCTCCTCGGATCGAACCTGATTGCGTCCCATTTCCCTAGGTGCTGTAACGTTCCATACAGGTTTACTATTTTTGTAATACTAAGGAATAAAAGTTACATGTTAAACTTAAAAAGGTTATTTTTGTCAAATTCAGAAATAAGTGAAATTATCCTAGTATGTAAAAAATCCGTAACTGAGGTGTATAATCTATAAAAAACCAAGATGTTTAATAAGGCAAATAAGCAGTTGCGTTACGTTAGGATAAACTGTCGTATTTCAGTAAATAAACAATTGTATTATTACTGGGAAGCGCTAAACCCACAGTAAATACAGCATTTGGAGGAATGAAAGATAATCAGGTTCGATGGAAAGGGAGAATAGATCCCATTCCTCAGATCAAGAGCCCTCCCCCTAGAGGGGGAACAACATACCACGAACATAGAGGCTATAAAAAAAAATTAAGCACGAGAAGTGCACTCGACAATACACAGTCAGATATTCACTGTTGAAGAGTCATCCATGTGACTGTCTTGGCAACAGTGAAATACTGACTTATTACGAGGATGGGCTGAAGTGATGTATTGGTTATTCAACAGTATCAACGTCAGAAGGTGAATAAATGATTTACAGAACCAACAAGTTGATAAATGAGACTTGTGCAACGTTTGGGTAACTTCATTCTGGAAACATTTCGCATTCTTTATTTGTTTTCCCCCAGCCTCACACCCATTTCAAATAGGTGGGAACCCATTGCACTTTCGTAAATTCACTTATTCTTTGCCTCCATAATCTTATTACATTGGGGAACGCTAAACCCGTAGGGGTCTATCATCTCCTGGAGGGGGGGGGGAATAGAAGGCACTCAGGTTTAGTCCAATGAAGACGGGCACAGGTCCAGTTCCTCAGATCAAGAGCAGCCCCACCCCCCAGACACCAGCATCAGGGAACCTCCCTCAAGGGGTTTGCCTCAATAAATAAGTCTAGGTCTCAATCTCTCTCTCCACAGACGAATCAACACTCCACTTACCTTTTCATCCTTAATCTGTTCTATGGTTCACCTCACATTCCATAGACCCCATTCACATCAACTCCATTGCTGGTGTTGCAAGTCTGCAGTGCCGGGTTGTGCTCTGTCTCGCCTTCGGCAACGAGGTGACAAGCAAACAGGAGAGTCTACATAACAATGTGTGATTAATTATATTCGTCTGGTATATCGCTTTGTACACTATACACGGACTGTCATCACAAACTAATTCAATAATGAACACACTAAGTAGTAAACGCTAAACACAATCTGTCATAGATAGCCAGAGGTCAGAGTGTGACGAGCACAAGCTGATAGCCTAGGATGTTTAGACTGGCAGGAAGGCTTACCCATAGTAATTAGACATTCCACTCGAGTCCTCCCTGAATGACTCCTAACCGTCACCTGATGATCTAGGGCTGTATACCACCACTAGATGACTCTGCACACAGTGCTTACAGCTTCCGGCAACAGGACAAAGGTTTGTTTATGCGCGCTGAACAAACAGATTTACAGAGTACTCGGCGCACTCCACACCCATCTGCTGACACTTCCACCCTTCCCTCCCACAAACATTTAAATACATCCACTTCCTTAATACTTTTCACTTCCAGTCTTATATCTAATGTTTCATTGCTTAAACATACTGTTAATCTCGTCACTTCGCTCTTTGAGGCGTTCACTAAAATTTTCACTTGTCCTTGCACTTCCTCACCATCTCGTCCACCTACCTTTGCAATCTCCTCTAATTATTATTTTAGTCGGGGAGCGCTGAGACCGTAGGGCAGAGGAATGAAAAGCATTCACGCTTAATTTAAGTGGAGCACAGATCCAATTCCCTAGATCAAGAGCCGCCTCATCAACATCAAGGAACCTCCAATGAACACAGACCGGGCAGCGGTGGCTTTAACCCTCGAAACCCTCTCCAGGTATACTCCAGGTATACTCCAGGTATACTCCAGGTCTCTCCACGTATCATCGGCAAAAAGTAATTGTGACAATACCCACTTTATATGAGACTCGTTATCTTTCAATCTTTCCATTCTCTCTCTCTCTCTCTCTCTCTCTCTTCTCTCTCTCTCTCTCTCTCTCTCTCTCTCTTTCAACACCCTAGCGTTTAATTCTCTTGCAACCCTGTTTATAAATATAATAAAAGACCATGGTGATATATATATTCATTGTCAAAGGCTGGATTTAATGGAAAATGGTCCTCTTCTCTCTTACTCTTCGCATTAATCTGTTTTACTCCTTTTTTAGTAATCTCAACTATTCCTCACATTTGCAACTTCTGCCATATTGCTTCACCTTATCACACGTCTTTCCTAAATCCATAAATGTAACAGACATTCTCATCTATGTTTTGTTCCTCTGAATGCTTCAATACAAACACTTGGATATAAATTATTATTATTATTATTATTATTATTATTATTATTATTATTATTGATGCCATTATGAAAATTATACCCCTCAAGGAAGGTTTCTTGATGCTGGTGAAGGGCTCTTGATCTAGGGAACCGGATCTGTGCTCCAGTTCTCTGAATTAAGCCTGAATGCCTGCCTTCCCCCCCCCACAGGCATTGTATAGTTCTACGAGTTTAGCGCTTCCCCCTTGATAATAATAATATGAAAATTATAAAAAATGGAGCTATAAAACGTATTGTGGAAATTTTTTACATAATTTTCCTAAAGGTACAACATAGAAATGAATAATATAATTATTGCATTTTAAAATGTGATGCTGTTTGGACCCTTCGAGAAATTTTAAGTGGGGGGGGGAGGTGGAACAGCCGAAGAGTGACGAGGAAGGTAAGACGCCATATTGAAATTAAATGTGAGAACAATGGTCCTTTAACTGTGCAATTTAATCATAAGAACATAAGAAATGAGGCACACTGCAGGAGGCCTGTTGGCCCATACTAGGCAGGTCCTTTACAATTCATCCCACTAACAAAACATTTGCCCAACCCAATTTTCAATGCCACCCAAGAAATAAGCTCTCATGTGAAAGTCCCACTCAAATCCAACCCCTCCCACTCATGTACTTATCCAACCTAAATTTGAAACTACCCAAAGTCCCAGCCTCAATAACCCAACTAGGTAGACTGTTCCACTCATCAACTACCCTATTTCCAAACCAATACTTTCCTATGTCCTTTCTAAATCTAAACTTATCTAATTTAAATCCATTACTGCGGGTTCTCTCTTGGAGAGACATCCTCAAGACCTTATTAATATCCCCTTTATTAATACCTATCTTCCACTTATACACTTCGATCAGGTCTCCCCTCATTCTTCGTCTAACAAGTGAATGTAACTTAAGAGTCTTCAATCTTTCTTCATAAGGAAGATTTCTAATCTTCGGGCGTCATCGAAGTCCAATGGGTGTATTTCGGCTTCAGTCCGTAATTTAGAAATTGCTGACACGTTCCCGCTGAAGAATTGGGATAGTGTGGAAAACTTTTACAATTCGGCAACAAGAACGGAAAAATAGAGGACACAGATTCTCCCAGGAGCACACCTTAGCCAAGTGATGATTACCCATAATGTACAGTAGTTTTGCATTGGCCGTCGTAAATTGTAGCTGTTGTGGTAGCGTTAGGGTGTGTTACCAAAAAAAATAATTATGGTATGTGGGAATACGAATTTCCTGTCTAATAACACTATTATAATTTATGTACAATAATTACATTCTGTGTACCCAGCAAGCCTAACCATATACAGTCGACACAATTAGCTGGGTTTAATATTGTAATTATTAATTTAATGTCAGGTCTAGCTTTTCGTGAGAGTGGTGATGAAGTGAGCATCGTGGGAGTTACAGTTCTGAGACCTACTGTGACTATGTCCCACTTATTTCACCCAGATTACTTGCACGTAATAATTCAGATAACTCCCTGTAAACCTCATGCAGGTAATTGCTCACATAATAATAATAAATAATAATAATAATAATAATAATAATTATATATATAATATATATATATATATATATATATATATATATATATATATATATATATATATATATATATCATAGTGGAAATTTGTGATAGCTCAAGACAAAAAGAGAATATGGATCACAAGCGAGAGAGAGAAAGAGAGAGAGAGAGATAAAAAGAGCAGCTGCGGTAAAGTAAAACGCAAGGCAGCGATATTCAAATTAGCAAATGAGGGAGGGAGACTCCAGGGGAAAGGGAAGGGAAGGGGGAAGGGGGACCGGGGGGGGGGGGACACAGAAAAACGATAGCAGCCATAAAAACTCCTGGAAACATTCACTCAGACGGAAATGACTTAGCATGACAAGTGGGTCGAGTGTCAGGGAGCACTATCGCCACCATGACAGATAGCTCCTTGATATAATTATCACAAGGAGGAGGAATTAAGTCGTCTTTCCCGCCGTGCACCGCAGAATAACATAAGATACGGAAGCTCATCTGGCTTTTAGCCGATGCGTAATTATTTAATTTAGTTTTAAGACCGAAAAAAATCGGCTTCAGTTCTTTATTGAATATGTTTCAGTTGCCTTCCAAGTGGGTTCGAATGTGAGAACCTTTATAATTGCCTTTTTTTTTTTAATAGATATCGAAACGAAATCAAAAGGAAACAAAAATCAAATCGAATCATTTTGATCCAATGAGGGGGTTGTAAAGGCCAGATGCGAGGGATCTAATTGTGCGCTTGACATCAGAATGCTCTTAGCGCGTCTGGGGTCAGGCGTCTATGCTAATAAACACGCTCCTATCAACCCTCCTACACCGATTCCTTGACTCGTGTAGGCGATGGAGGATCTGGTCCCGAGTTATAAAAAATCGGATGCTGAAGATATGAACGAAGTTTGTAGAGATAAGATCTCCAGCTTCTGTTTCACGACGTAATGTGTTGATTTTTATGGCCTCAAATTGGTTATTTTTCGAAAGAGGTTGCTGAAAGAAGGAACTTGGAACACAAAGTTGAAACGAGTAGAAATGTGATGGGAATAAATAACAGAGTGCAAATACCATGTCACACTTAGAGATTAAATGATGAATGAGACACATGGGCAACACCTGGGTACCTTAATTGAGAGATAAAGATATCCAGGTGTCGGTATTAAATGCGCTTGATCAATAGATATTAGATGTTTGAATCCATATTATCATATATTATACATATGTGTGATTTGATGGGGTAATCACTTGTTCAGTGTTCAATTGGTTAAACCCTGAAGGGTCACACAGCACTTGTTTGCTCTAGAGAACGGAAGGGCAGCCGCAGCTCCTGAAGTATGTGTTCTGTTGTGATGTTGGGTGACTATACAGCAGTCCAGTTGAGTATGGAATGTGGGGGAAGTAGAAACAATGATACCTTATTCATATATAGATCGAGAGGTTAAGTGATGGAGAGAGAGAGAGAGAGAGAGAGAGAGAGAGAGGAGAGAGAGAGAGAGAGAGAGAGAGAGAGAGAGAGAGAACACTTGTTTGACAAAAAGACAAACACACAGACATTAACCAATTCTAACGGAGGACGAGAAACGAGCTTCAGTCACTGAACCGAGCTCTTACTGGTTTGGTGTTTCACATCGCCCACCTATCGAGCATGGCTCATCTTCGACTAGTCGATCTCTCCCACATGTAACCGCAACTTTAACTTCTGCATCTTACCACTTCTTACACAGGCTCCAGCATTCAAGGCTCCGCCCTGAACGCTCTGTATGAGGTACATCAAACCTGATGTGAAGGAAAAAGTCTGTCAATACAAATTCCCACATGTTGAACATATCTTATTTATCAATTCGTCGGTACTGTATCTTTGATCCAATTGATACTGTGACTTCTTATACTACTGATAGATTGTTATTATTGTTAATATTATATTCATGTGGGGAGCAATAGATCCGTAGGGGAATGAGAAAGGGAGGCAAAAAGGAGGATAGCTCCAGTTCTGTGGATCAACAGGCCTTTACCAGTATCAATGCACTGTCCTTCAAGGGCCTAATTGATAAAACGCCAAACAATGTTATCTCTAAATAATATGCGCGCCTGTATCGTGTGTGGGGAGCAGAGGAGCAAGGCTCCACTATCACTACATGGGTTTAGAGCCTTGCAAAATATATATTAATAGTAATCGTCAGCCTTTCTCGCATCCTTCAGCTCAGTGGTGACCTTTTCAAAAAGGCATCCGTTGACCTTCATTTGGGTCGTCATAAAAATTCCTTATAGGAGGATAACAACGGCGGCGACAGTTAATACGAGAACGATTGCTCAGACAACGACAGCGATCCCTACCAAGCCGACAACTCAAACGACAAAGACGGAGCCGGAAAAAAGA